TTTATTACTTATAGATCTAATATTAAATTAATTCTGTTTTTATATTTAGTTATATTGTATATAATGCACTATGTAAATTTTGTATATTTTATTATACTTGATCAATACCTTCTTTAATATAATTAGGTTTCTTAGAGATATATAAAAACAATATTAATGTTATATTCTATAAGGCACAAATGAAACACCTAGTACACCTGACAATTGAACAAGAACCAAAGTGTCCGAGGTGCAATGAGGGTGACAATACCTCTCTCCACTTAATTACTGAGTTGACAGCTCAGAAACTGACAATGCTCAAGGCCTCTTTTCTTCATATGGTAAACTTGGAAAATATCACTCCTTGTAAGAGGTTGGTCTATTCAAATATCTCACCCTGTAGAGTTGCTTGTATAGGCTCAGGCTCAATGGTCCAACAAGCTTCGATGTGTAATATCATCAACTAAATGGAAAAAAGAAGTACTAATCAAGCATTCCTTCCAAAAATACAAGTGCATCTATATTATCAACTGCACTTTCTACGTCTCTTTTTTGTACTGTCTTTTTATTCATTTGTGCTGTGTATTTATATGATTCTTTAGCAAGAGAATCAATAAAAAGTTCCTGCAAAAGAGTTAATAATTAGGGTATAAAATATTATTATGAAAACCAATTCTTTCAAATTTTCAAATTATCACTCTATTAAAAATTTATCAACTACGAGTTTTTCAATATTTAGCAATTATTTTGGATTTAGAGTAATATTACATTAGTAGTTTGCAAATAAATAAGATACATTCTATAATTACCGTAGATTTTGCAATTAAGAAAACTGCTTCTTGGTTCACCATACTCACTTCGGGATCCATCTTTATAATTGTTTTTATCCTACCTAATGGTAATTTTACCAACTTTTCTCTTTGTTCTTCATCAGTTCGGACAATACTTTCTATTTCTTCTTGACAATCTTGAGAAGTTTCTCCTCCAGTACTAATATTACTTTCGTTTAATTCTTTATCACTTGCAGCTCCTTCGTTTTCAAAATTTGCCATGTTTATATTGTTTTATATTTTAAAGTGCTGCATTAAAATATATTGATAAGTTTGGATTATAATAATAAACATTTTACTATAAATATTCATTCATTTGTCAGTCTTTAACATTAAACTGTTAAAATGATATTTGTGTATTTATATTTCAATATTTAAAAACCCAAAGTATTGGATATGTTACGCATATCAAATTTTTTATATTTTAAGTGTTCTATTCTAACAGGTTAATTTATTAATTTGTATAACTTGTAACAGAGTACATTAACATATTATTTTATATTCGTTCATGTATATTTTTATGAAGTTACATGTAATCAACTAAAAGTAAGGAATATTACAAATTCAGAATTATAATGATTCGTTATAACTTAAATAGTGAACTTTATTTGTTAATTTTGCTTAATGCAATATCACTAGGGTACTTCATTTTAAGTTTTATTAAGGAAAAATTAAATTGAAATATTTATACAATTTTGTATTTGTAGTGTTACGTTCCAACACCTAAAGGCGGGTACGCAACAAGAGATCTTGCCCCACCTCCAGTCTATAGGTTTTTAGCACGGTGAACTACTTGAAAAGAGAGGGCTTGCAGTAGTGAGGAGTAGAGATGGCGACTAACAGTGATTTATCAGTGATCGTAGAATCCAAATCACGGTCGTGAGTTAACTTCATTCACGACCGTGATCGTAATTTTTTTATCTTGAAGTGAATTTGTTGATTTAGCTGATCGTGATTATTGATCTTTAAAACAAAACATGTTCAATATGATTTGAAAACAAATTACATTATTATTTGTGTTTTTAAAAATCAGTAAAAAAGAGGAAATTATAAAAGAATGATTTATTATAATTATACAACATATATGTTATGTAACATATAAATTAGAATAAATAATAATAAAAAATTATATAAATTCACACGTGCAAAGAACTATTGTTATGTTCTCCACCAATCAGAAATGATCACGGAAAATCACGAATCACTGTGAAAAATCACCGTGTTTGAGAACGAACGTGATCGAATCACTCGTGATTCACAAATAACAGTTCAGTTCACAGTGATGCCAGAATCGTGGGCCGTGGGCGAAAGCAGTTACCCCCACTATGACCTACCGCCGTCTCCCACTATACCGTCCTTGTGCTCTCACCAAGTGTAGCGGTAGCTCTGTCCGTGTGCGAAGCCTGTTCGGCTCTTTCCGCCAATAATCTATACGTCACTACGTGACGCTCGAGCAACCTGAGCGCATGAGTAAGAATTAGGAGATTCCCTTTGAATCTCGGTGAGACGCAGTGTTTCGAGTATATGGGTGTTCGGGACAAAAATCATAATTTCTAAATTAATCAATTTTCGACCTAAGTTCTCTAATACTTTTTTGAAGAGAATTCAAATATGCATTGATTGGCACATGAAAAATATATATGGTTTCATTTAACAAAAATTGTAGTGATCTTTATTTTTTATCGAATAAAAACTTTTTTGTAAATTTTCATTAACATGATTTATTGTCAACTGAATACTGATTAACTTTTGTTTGAAAAATTTGTTCATCAGTTTCGCGGAAATACCGGCAAAATCATAGCGGCCGTTTCGCATACAGGGGTTTGAGAAACAAATATCATAACTTTGTATACATTCAAAATTTCTCTTTTATTTTTGTTTTGTAATTTTCATTAGGTAGTTAAATAACAATAGGATACTGAACGCGTCAATAACGATTTTAACAATTTTCTTCATTTTGAGCAAATTTGAGCAATTAAATTTGACATTAATATGAAGATTTATATGTTCAAAATTAATATACAAAAAATCACAGAGGTATTACTCGGTACTTTTTTTAAAAGTCTCGTTAAATTTGATAAAAATTTTACATAAAAAATTAGGAAAATTTATTACTATTGTATTAAAATTCTGTGTCAGCTTCAAAGGTATTCAGGTACTAAACACAACCTATAAAAATCAAATCAAAAACACAAATGGTCTGTGAATGGCACATATTTGAAAAATACACTGATTTTAATGGAGCAACCATCACGTCTTAATTTTAACAACAAATGGACGTATTCAGTCAAAATTATAGGCAATATTACAAACTATGGTTTGTTATTAACATCTTAAAATGAAAAAATGTTTAGATTTTACACTTTGAATTTCTGATTTTTGTCCATTGGTCGAAACACTGTGTGTCGGTGTTACATTTTATTTTTAATTATTTTGTAATTTCATTTTGTAAAATTTTCGCGAAATGAAAAATTTGAGAAATATTGATGTGCAAAGCACCCACTTATCGAGGAGACTACATACCTGTCCCCCGAGGATTTTGATAAAATTTGAAGGGATGAATTTAGAAGTCGAAAAATGACATTCTGTAAAATATTTCATTTCAATGCGCATTTTTTATAAACAATTGAAATTACTTCTGTAAAACTTTGGAAGTTTAGGCACTATTCAACAATCGGCAGTGAGCCAGTGCACAGGATGTTGAGTTGCCTTCCAACCTTGCTAGGTTAAGGAAGGGTCTTCGAGAGCTCTCCAAGCTAAAAATTCACGCTCGGATAGCATACCTCACGCGCCCCGCGCACAAACACAATTCATCAAAGTAAAACGAGTGAGAGTGCAGTGTCTAACATATATTCAAATAAAAACAATAACTACAATAACTACTTCACAAATAGGGTGAAACACCCAACAACAACAAAAAATAAATAAACAAATTAAAAAGATAGTGCCAAAATATACTGGCCCCCAAGGGGCGTCCACACCCGAAAATGAAAAAACAGGGTGCATCCAAGAGAAAAAATACGCCATAAACACAAGTGAAGTGTTAAAAATAATAGACAAAACCGGACATAGCTGTGCAAACAAGGAACAAAAGGAAAAACACAGCAGATACAGAAACCGAAAAGGAAGAGCCTCAAAATCTCGAAATGAAACCTAAGCCAAAAGACTCAGACATAAACACAGCAAAAAAAAAAAGCATGGAAGCACCAGGTAAACCCACATACGAAGATCTAATCAAAATAATTACAAATTTAAATAAAACTATAGGAAACATGTCCAAACAACTTGAAACGGAAAGAAAAGAAAAAGAAAAAGCAGCGACCATCCCGAGCACAAGAAAAAAGACAGAGGTAGAAACTCCAACAAACACAAAAGGACGGAAACACCCACGCAGACCCCCCCACACACACTCACACGCAAATCATCAAACCAAAAGGAAGACGGCACATCTTGGACCCAGGTTACGCCAAAAAGGAAAAGCAGCCAGGAAGCACTATTACCACCACCCCAGGAAAAGACGGAACAACCCGTAACGGCATCGGCCAGCCAGCACGAAGCCATCAAGAGGGACCCCCAACCGACAGGCATAAGGAAGAGGGCTAGGTATACAGAAGAAGCAGCAGCACCCGCAACCGACAGGCAAAACAGTAAACCCCCACCAATAATTATTTACAATTCTAACACCAAAAACACGATAAATCTCTTAGCAAATTAACTAAAACACTTTACAACAAAGCGATTAAACATTAACAAACACCTCCTAAACACAGAAAACACAACCAACCACAAGCAAGCATGCGAAATCCTAAAAGCAAACAATATCGAATATTATACATATACACCGAAAGAAGACAAACACCTCTCAATTCTGTTAAAAAACTTTGACGGCAATTTCGACACAGATGAGATCTTAACAGATCTCCAAAACATAAAAAATACAGACATCCAATTCTTATCTGTTAAAAAATTTTACACACAAAAATCTATATTAGAAGACACGAGTCTCCCCATTCATATAGTTAAAGTATCACCTGATAGCAAAACAGAAAACCTAAGAAATATTAAATTACTAATGCACTCCATCATCTTATGGGAGAAATTAGTTAAAAAAAAAACGCATCCAATGCAAAAGATGCCAGAGAATAGGTCACGTAGCAATAAACTGCAACCTAAATTACCGATGCGTCAAATACAACACACCGCACCAGCCAGGACAACCGACAAAAACATGGAAGAGGGCGCGGAAACACGCCCCTTCTGTATAAACTGCAAAAATTTCGGACATCCCGCATCGTACCGGGGATGCCCGAAATTAAAAGAAATTAAAAAAGAAATAGAAGAAAAAAGGGAACAAATAAAAATAGAAATAGAGAAAAAAAGAAAATCAGTAAATAACTACGTAACACAGGAAACATCATATAGCGCAAAACTCACAAACAGTACACCCTCTCAAACCACAAGACTCACTTACCATACCCGAAACCACAATCACACCCACAAGACACAACATTCACTCAAACCACACTGCTAGAGGAAATAAAAAAAACCATATCATACTCAATAAATACACAGATAACTCGTATCGCAGAATCAGTAGCTCACAACTCCAATAAAATCAATATAATAGCGGAAGCACTAGGAATAGACTTCAACACCTAACCAAAAACAAATAAAGATGGCTCACAACACCCAACACAATAACAACGCTAACAAGAAACTATCCATAAATCAACTAAAAATTTTACAAATAAACGTAAACTCAATTATAACAAATGAGCGAAGAGCAACACTCCTGGACTACCTAAGCAAGCAAAAACCCGATATAGCACTTCTATCAGAGACCAAACTAAACCCGAACCATAAAATCAATTTCAAAGATTATATAATACTAAGAAGCAACAGACCTCATGCTAAACAAGGTGGGGGAACAGGTATTCTGATAAGAAAAGACTTCTCATTCAAACCCATCCAGCCAAACAGCATCAAAAGCAATAAATGCCTCGAAACAACAATTATTGAAATCAACCTTCAAAACAACTACAAATTATACATAATAGCAGCCTACGCAACTTGCAACTACAAAAAAGAATTTATACCAGAATTAAAACATCTCTTCGAAGAACTCCACTTAAATAATACAAAAAACTTCTACCTCCTAGCCGGCGACCTAAACGCCAAACATCAAACATGGGGAAACACAAACATTAACAAGAGAGGAATCTCCCTCCACAAATGGCATACTGACTATTAAATATTATACAGAACAAACCTACTTTGAACAGCCAGTCCATCATACCCCAAAACTGGGGCATTCATTGACCTTTGCTTAGCAGACGACCGTATAAAATTCCACCAACTACCTGCGCCAAATCAACTCGACACATTCAAATACGACAGCGACCACAGAGCAGCCCGCATGAAAATCACAATACCAACATTAGACCACCTTATAATCGACAAATCACACACACAACCAACGTACAACTACAATAAAGCTGACTGGACAAAATTCAAAAAATACTTAATAGAAAACGACACAACAGACATACCGAACGACAGAAACCTCAACACAGAAGAAATTGACAAACACATAGATACATTAAACACACTTATCACCGACGCAATAGAATCCGCAGTCCCACATATAAACAACAACTTCAGCTCAACAGACAGATACATCACCCCAGAAATAAAAAAGCTACGCAAATAAAAAAGCCACCTAATAACGCAAGTCAACAAACTAACCAAACCACAAAACTACACGGCAGCAAACAAAACACAAATTGACGAAGCAAAAAAATCAGAGAAGAAATCAGAAAAGCATTTCAAAGAGCAGTTAATAACTTCTGGACAAACGAAATAGAAAACCTATCACAACACAAACCCAAACAACTTTTCCCCTCAATAAACAGAATCTTCAGACCAAAAAACTTTAGCAACATAGACACACTCAAAATCCCAACCACCAACAGAAACCTCTTACACAAAGCAGATATAAATAACAAAAACCTACCGACAGACTCCAACAACAACACACTCATTACGGAAACACAAGACAAACTAAACATTCTAGGCGACCACCTCGAAACAGTGCACACACAAAACGCAAACATGGGTAAAGAACAACTAATCAACATAATCAAACACAAAATAAATACATTACAAAATGAAATACAACAAGACAGACAGACCGACAAAACAATATGCACATTCACACAATCAAACACAGCAGACCAACCTGACCCCAACATCACGCCACCCAACTATTTCACATCATTTGCTAAACTATCAACAACATTTAAAAAACTAAACAACAAAAGATTGTCTAGCTTCGACAAAATCCCAAACATCGCACTAAAAAACCTACCGCCACACTTCATATTCCATTACTCCATCATATTTAACAATAGTCTAAACTACTACAAACTCATACTTCCCGAAAATATGGAAAACCGCCAAACTTATTACAATAAAAAAAAAAGAGAAAGAGGGCAGCAACCCAGAAAGCTACAGGCCCATCAGCCTCCTCCCCAACATAAGTGAAATATTCGAGACAACAATAAACGGTGCCATAAATTCATTCTGCAATAGTAACAATATAATCCCAGAAACACAGTTCGGATTCAAACACAGACACTCAACAATACATGCAATCACAAAACTAACGTCAGACATCTGCTGGGCAAGAAATGCAGATGAATGCGTAGGAGCAATATTTATAGATCTTGAAAAAGCCTTTGATACTGTTTGACTGGATGGCCTATTCTTTAACACTATTTCTACCAAGAGGTGTCAAAAGACACCTTTCAAATTTTAATGCTCCCTCGCGTTCACCCTAATGTCATCTTGCATACATGCACACTTTTCGATAGAAGAAAACACACACGCACTCACGCACTCCTCGCCTGATTACTAAAACTAAACATTCGTTCAATATCTTTCGCGCTATCCCAAACACTCGACCTGGCACGCCGGTCCTTACCGCTCACGCCATAGACCCTCACGCATTCACACAGACAACGCATTCATACAAACAACGCACTCACGCTCGGTCATCTCTACACATTTTATTAGAAAAGATTTTAACCGTTGGTTGACGAAGCTGGCTCATCTGTGACTCGTATCATTTGCGTTTGTAGAAGGTTCGTGGGACGTACAGGGTGGAGCAAACAGTTTGTCCATTTATGGACCGTTTTTATCATTTTATTAGAAAAGATTTTAACTTCGTCCACTTGGAATGTTTCAATTATTTGTAATAATATGGAAAAATGTTATATACAAAACTTGCATGATATAGAGGGAGATTTAATGTGATGTAAATAGTTTTTAGGTGGATGGAGACGTAGAAGAGACTTCAGGACCATCTTTATTTTTTTAAATGGGATGCTGTATTTTGTTTTGTCACTGTGTCATAACCGCTGCTGTGGCGATTTTAGCATGGCATCGTTAAAGGTCGTTCCACCATTAACCCTTTGCAATCGAGTGGCGACTGAGAAGCGACGTTAAATAATCGTCACTTTGTGAACAATTAATCAAGACAGAGAGCAGATCTATAGATCTCCGTAAATTTGTTCACCGCAGTGAAATAGAGAATGCACGGAATATTTAAATAAAATAGTATAGCTTATTTGTAGGTTAGTTTGAAAAAATTCAAAGATCCGATTTATAGTGTTCGAAATCTTGTGATGTAAAAGCGGTTCCTCTGTCTGACACTATTCTTTTCGGATTCCCAAATACTGCTGATTGTTTTTGTAACCACTTGACGACTTCGGCTGTGCCTGTTGATCGCGTTGCATACAACCAGACAAATTTACTGAACGCATCTGTCACGATGAATATGTGTTTATAATTTTTTCTCGTTGACGGCACTGGCCCTAAGTGATCTATATGATACGTTTGTAAAGGCGCATCTCCTTTATCGATAGGGTGTAAAAGACCTTCGTGTTTGCCTTGTTTTTTATTAGCTAGGATTTTAGAAATTATCTTTATTTGTAATTAAGTTTTTTCTTTTATTTTACACTGTTGGTTTTACGGATATAAACTGCAAGGTCTAAACTTCCTTGTTATGCAATACTGACTGACTCTCGTCCTTTTTCGAGGCTGCTTTTATATTGGGGTTTTTGGGAGTTGCGGGTGGGGGAATTTAGGAATGCGTTCGTTAGGTAGGGACCAGGAATGTGTAAGGATAATGATCAGGACTCGTTAGGATTGAGGGTTCGATGATACGGGAGAAGAATTGCAGGGACAATGGTTCGGTAATGAACTTAAGGAGTCGGTACAAAAGAAATGGGTAGAGTGCATCAGTTTGAGGATCTGCCGGAGATAGGACAGGAATTCGGTGGGAAAGTGGAAAACGCACAGGTAGTTGTCGAAACTGTACCTGGGAAAAGGATCGGTATGTATGGGAGTCGAGGGACAAAGGGATGAGGATTCGACACCTTAAACAAAACACCGTTCCTCACGACGTAGCCGTCCAGATGTCCTTCCTGGAACGCTTCAAATATTTTCCGTAAGGTGATATCTTCACGTTGTGCTCGCTTAAGTCGAACCATTATCCCTTCTTCCTCGCAATCAATTACTAAACAGTTAGGCAACGGTTGCCGACTGAGCGCGTCAACATGCGGCATGCCTTTTCCTGACCTGTGTTCTATTGTATATTCAAACTCCTCAAGGAGAAGTGCCCATCTAGCCACTCTCACACACAGATCCTTTTTCTTGAGGGTCAACGCAAACGCTTTGCAGTCTGTCACAATTTTAAACGGCACGTCTAACAAGTAAATTCGAAACTTTTTCACCGCTTTCACAATGGCTAACGCTTCCAGCTCGTAGCTCGAGTATTTAGCCTCTGCCACACTTGTCTTTCCACTCGCATAATATATGGGATGCAACGCACCGTCCTCTGCATCGCGTTGCAAGAGGATTGCCCCGTAACCGGCA